ATCCTCCGTGAGCTGTATTACGGATTCACTACCAGGATCTCACCATTCTACAAGGAAGTGATCATCCATGTAAAGAAAGGGGGGTTTGGCAGGGTGATGCCATTTCACCAAAACTCTTCAGTGCCAACCTCCAGAATGTCATGCAACGACTGGAATGGAAAGGAATGAGAGTGAAGACAGATGGTCGGCAACTATATCACCTCCACTTCGCTGATGACATCGTTCTAATAAGACCAAACATTAGCCAAGTGGCACGAATGCTGGTCGACTTTGACTGTGAGTGTTGAAAGGTCGGATTGCAGCTGAATCTCACGAAGACAATGTTCAATGAGAAATGGACTCGTTCTGACATTCTATTTGCTCTCAATGGAACGAACATCTCTGAATGCAGCAGTTATGTGTACCTAGATCGAGAACTCAACATGACAAACAACCTAGCACCTGGGCTGCGTAGGAGGAAGAGTGGTGTGGAACACCTTCAAAACCATCAAAGAAGTTGTTAAGAGGACGAAGAACCACTGGCTCCAGGCGCATCTCTTCAACTCCACTGTTCTTCCTGCATTAACATGCCTCAGAGACCTGGGCCCTATGAAAACAGGATGAGAACGCTATTCGGGTCTCCCAAAGAGGAATCAAAAGAGCTATGCTTGGAGTATCACGCTTCTATATAAATTTTAACAGCATTTAATCCACATCTTTAAAAGTATTATTGGCACTTTTATAGGGACTGCACTAAATAATGCTTTTGCAATGCTTTTGTATAATGCTTCAGACTAGACTATAATTTTGACATTAATCCTTCAATCCAATGTGTTTCCATTTCCTGTGTCCCCTTTCATATCTTTAAGTAGTGCTTCAGGATTTTCTTTGTATAAGTCTTTTACCCCTTTTGTTATGCTGATTCCCAGGTACTTGACTTTCTGAGGTGCAAGTGTGAATGGCTGGATCATAGCACAGCAGGTAGGGCATTTGCCTTGCAGGGGGCTGACCTGGCCCACCCTGGGTTCAATTCCTCCGCCCCTCTGGAAGAACCTGGCAAGCTACCGAAAGTATCTCGCCTGCATGGCAAAGCCTGGCAAACTACCTGTGACGTATTCGATATGCCAAACACAGTAACAACAAGTCTCACAATGGAGACGTTACTGGGCCCACTCGAGCAAATCCATGAACAACGGGAGGACAGTGCAACAGTGCTACAGTGCTATATTAAAAAAAATAAAATTTTGGGGCTGGAATGATAGCACAGCAGGTAGGGCGTTTGCCTTGCACACGGCCAACCCAGGTTCGATTCCCAGCATCCCATATGGTCCCCTGAGCACCGCCAGGGGTAATTCCTGAGCGCAGAGCCAGGAGTGACCCCTGTGCATTGCCGGATGTGACCCAAAAAGCAAAATAAATAAATAGATAAAGTTTTGAGGCCACATACAGCAGTACTCAGGGCTTACCCCTGGCTTTGTGCTCAGGCATCACTCCTGGTGGGGCTGAGATCAGATATGGGATTTTGCAGACCAAACCCGGGTTAGCAGCATGCAAGGCAAGCACCCTGTCTGCTATACTTTTTCTCCGGATCAATGAATGATGCTGTCTTGTAATTCCTCGCTTCTATTTCATTATTGCACGTAGGAAAGCCATGAATCTCTGTGCACTGACTTTGCAGCCTGCCATTGTACACGCCTATTGTTTCTAGGAGCTCTGGGGTGAGCTTTTCTAGCTGGAGTTTCTATCATGTTATGTGCCTACTGTGAGAGTTCGACTAGCTTTTTTTTTTCCCCAATTTGAAAGCCCTTAATATCTCTTTCTTGCCTAATTGCTATGGCATATACCTCCAGTACAATACTGAACAGAGGTGATGAGAGTGGGCAACCTTGTCTTGCGTCCACTTGCAAGGAAGGATTTCAGTTTTTCACCACTGAGTATGATGTTCATTGTGGGCTTGTGATAAATGACTTTATGGTAAGAAAGTTCCTTTAGCCCCGATTTTATTGAGCATTTTTATCACGAATGGGCGTTGGGTCTTGTCAAATGCTTTCCCTGCATCTACTGATGTGATCCTATGAGGTTTGCTTTTCCTGGTATTGATATGTTGTATTATGTTGCTTGACTTGTGTCTCAGGGATGAATTCAACATGGTCATGGTGTATGATCTTTTGATATATCATTAGGACTCAGAATGCAAATAGCTTGCATCCATGTTTATCAGACATGCAGGTCTATAGTTCGGTTCTGTGTTGCTGTTCCCTGTTTTTGGTAATTCTTTTTTTTTTTTTTTTTTGCTTTTTGGGTCACACCCAGCAATGCTCAGGGGTCACTCCTGGCTCTGCACTCAGGAATTACTCCTGGCGGTGCTTGGGGGACCATATGGGATGCCGGGGATCGAACCCAGGTCGGTCGCGTTCAAGGCAAACGCCCTCCCCGCTGTGCTATCGCTCCGGTTCCCTGTTTTTGGTAATTCTTATCTGCTTTTGGTATCAGGGTAATGTTTGCATCACAGAAACTGTCCAAGAGGACTCCTGTTTCTTCAACTTTCCAAAAGAGCATGAAAAGGATTGGGAGTAGGTCTTCTTTAAAGGTTCAGAACTCCGGGGGCTGGCATGATAGTATAGGGATTAAGACACTTGCTGTGAACGCGCCCGACCAGGGTTTGGTCCCCAGCATTCCATATGGTCCCTTGAGTGCCGCCAGGAGAGATCCCATAACCAGAGCCAGGAATAAGTTCTAAGCACCACTGGGTATGACCCCAAACCCAAACATTTTTTTAAAATTAAGGTTTGGAAGAGCTCATGAGAAAGCCCATGTGAGCCTGGGTTTTTGTTTTTGGGAAAACTTCTAGTTACTAATTTTTATTTCCTTGATAGTGATTCAAGTGCTCTGTTTCCCTTTGATTCAACCGTGGAAGGTTATAGGAGTCAAAAACTTTATCCATTTCTTCTAGGTTCACTACAGTTATCCATTTCTTCCAGGCTCATACTGGAATGACCCCGAGCAATGAGTATTCTCAAGAACCACCCTAAGAACAAATAAAATCTAACCAAAATCCCAGTGAGAAACTTACCCCACCCGATGAGATGAAACCTAACACTAACCCTTAGCTCTAAATCTAATTCTAAACCAAATAATAACCCTAACCCAAATTATAAACTAAACTTAGGGCAGGAGAGATACTATCAGGTTATGGCACTTGCATGCAGCTAACCCCATTTGGATCCCAAGCACTACATGACCCCCCAACCACACACACACAAACACACACACACACACACACACACACACACACACACACACAGCTAGAATCAACCCCTTCTCAACACAAGAGCCGAGAATAGCCCCTGAGCCCCGCTGGATAAGGTCTAGAAACCAAATATATATACAGATAAATAGACCCAAATTAGAACCCCAGCACTAAAATTTAACATTGACCCCAACCCTACACTAGCCCTAGCCCTAAGCAATAATAACCCTGACCAGCAGGTACATAAGAAATAGTAAACAGAGGCTGGAGAAATAGCACAGCTGGCAGGGCGTTTGTCTGGCATATGACTGACCTGGGTTTGATCCCTGGCATCCTATAGGGTCCCTCAAGAACCACTAGGAGTGATTCTTAAGCAAAGAGCCAGGAGTAACCCCTGAGCATCACTGGGTGTGGGTTTATCCACCAAAAAAAAAAAAAAAAAAGGAATCGGTATTCAGTATAAATAATAAGTAGGATAAGAAGTAAATAAGGATCAGAAAGGAGCTGGAGCGATAGCACAGTGGGTTGGTGCTTACCTTGCATGCTGCCGACCCGGCTCCATCCCTGTCATCCCATAAGGTCCCCCGGGTACCACCAGGAGTGATTCCTGAGTGCAGAGGCAGGAGTAACCCCTGAGCGTCGCCAGGTGTGGCCTAACCCCCCTCCCTACACACACACACACACACACACACACACACACACGGATGGGAGAGATCGTTCAACAGACTGAGAGCATATTTCACAAGCAGGAGGACTGGGTTCTACCCCTGGCACCACACGGTCTCCTGAGCACTGCCAAGAGTGACCTCCAAGCTCAGGGAGGGCATGATGGAACAGAGGAGGGAAGAAGAAACAGAGGGAGAAAGGAGGGAAGGAAGGAAGGGAGAAAGGGAGGAAGGGAGGAAGGGAGGAAGGGAGGAAGGGAGGGAGGAAGGGAGTGGAGGGAGAGGAGGGAGGGAGGGGAGGAAGGAAGGAAAGGAGTGAAGGAGGGAGGGGGGAAGGGAGGGAGGGAAGGAAGAGGAAGGAAGGAAGGAAGGAAGGGAGTGAAGAAGGAAGGGAGCGGAGGGAGAGGAGAGAGGGAGGGGAGGAAGGAAGGAAAGGAGTGAAGGAGGGAGGGGGGAGGAAGGGAGGGAGGGAAGGAAGAGGAAGGAAGGAAGGAAGGAAGGAAGGAAGGAAGGAAGGAAGGGAGGGAGGGAGGGGAGGAAGGGAGGGAGGGAAGGAAGAGGAAGGAAGGAAGGAAGGAAGGAAAGAAAGAAAGAAAGAGAGAGAGAGAGAGAGAGAAAGGAAGGAAGGAAGGAAGGAAGGAAGGAAGGAAGGAAGGAAGGAAGGAAGGAAGGAAAGGAGTGAAGGAGGGAGGGAGGGGAGGAAGGGAGGGAGGGAAGGAAGAGGAAGGAAGGAAGGAAGGAAGGAAGGAAGGAAGGAAGGAAGGAAGGAAGGAAGAGCTTATTTACTCTCTAAGGGCCAGGGATGTGGTCAGTGGTACAATTCGTGCCACAAATGAGTCAGACCCGGCGCGTAATCCCTGGCACTGCAAAAGGAAAAAAGCGGAGCCAGAGAGATGACTCGGGGGTCAGGACCTAAGTGTGACCCCCCCACCACCACCCAGTGCCGCATCTGCACCCCACCCACTCCACCAGCAGCACCTCTGGGCAGGAGGTCCCTAAATGCAGCTGGGCCATGAGGCTGCCAGCAGACCCCGACCCCTCTGGCCCGGCTAGCTCAGTACTGGGGTCTGCAGGCGCCCTCAGCCTCCGCAGCCCCCAGAACCTACCCAGGAGGTGATGGTGCTGGCGTCTATGGGTCGGCTGGGCACGGTTCGAGCTTGGGTGACTGGTCGCGGGGGCGCTGCGGGGAGGCGTCGGGGGCCCTCCAGTGGCGGCTCGTGGAATAGCAGTGGCGCTCTCTGGGCCGGTCCCGCACGTTTCCTCCTCCGGGGTGGCATCAAGGAGCGGGCGGAGTGGCAGGAGCAGCCGCATGGTGCTGGCGGGAGTCAGCGTGCTCACGGGACTGCAGTTCCATCCCATGCCTGCGGAGAAGACACCGAGAGGCGAGTCCGCAGAGCTGCTGGTGCCGGGCCTCCCGGGGCCGAACTTCCTGCAGAAGTGTCCACTGCCTGGGCAACGGGCAGCGGCCGAGGGGCTGGTCACACGCCCACGGTGCATGCAGGAGGCCCGGCTCCACCCCCGATGCTGGACTCGGCAGAGACCAGGTTGTCTGACATGGTCAGTGACATGCAGCTCAGTGACAGTTTATCCAACCCTGGGGACTGGAGCGACAGCACGGCGGGGAAGGTACTTGCCTGGCAGAAGCAGACCCAGGGTCCATCCCCGGCAATCCATTAGGGTCCCCTGAGTCCCACCAGGAATGAGTAGTGAGTCCTGAGCCAGGCATAGCCCCTGAGCATCGCTGGGTTTGGCCCCCAAACCAAAAACCAAAAAAAAAAAAAAAAAAAAAAAGAGGAGCAATGCTGAGTTTGGGGCTGTATAAAGGTTCTATTGTCATTTCCTGCCGAGTCCTTGTAGGGACACAAAGGTCAGTGTGTTGGGGGGCTGGAGTGATAGCACAGCAGGTAGGGCGTTTGCTTTGCCTTGGTTCGATTCCCAGCACCCCGACGGTCCTCCCGAGCACCACCACCAAGAGGAATTTCTGAGTGCAGAGCTAGGAGTAAGCCCTGTGCATCGCCAGGTGTGACCCCCCCCAAAAAAAAGCCAAAAAAAAAAAAAAAGATCAGCGTGTCCCTGTCTAGCTGAGGGACACAGACTCAGGCCTCAGGCCCCTTTACTTTTTTAAACAAACAAACAAACAAACAAACAAACAAAGAAACAAAAAAGCTCAACCCTTTATTTGACAAAAGAAAAAAATAAAAATTCATTTACAGTGGCAGGGCTGGAGCGATAGCACAGCGGGGAGGGCGTTTGCCTTGCACACGTCTGACCCGGGTTCGATTCCCAGCATCCCATAGGGTCCCCCAAGCACTGCCAGGAGTAATTCCTGAGTGCAGAGCCAGGAGTAACCCCTGAGCATTGCTGGGTGTGACCCAAAAAGCAAAAAAAAAAAAAAAAAAAATTATTTGCAGTGGCTTTTGCTCACTGGACCAACTGCACTGCTCTGGGTTTGCCCAAACCCACCCCCCAGCCTTCCTAGCTTGCCCAAGGGGGCCACCCACCCCAGAATCCAGCAGCCTGGTCACCGCCACCCCCCACCCCCAATCCCTGCCCCCTCTACTGCTCAGCGCACGGTGGGACCGGAAAAAGCCTCATCCACAGCCCATGGCCAGTGTCCCGGACAGTCCCACCAGACCTCAGGTGCCAGTGACTCAGGGCACGGGACATCAGCAGCTTTGGCACATCTTGAAGCTGCCAGGGCTGTTCTTCTCCCCTGGACCTCAGGCGGGTGCAGACCCCTAAACCTCCTAATACCCCTGGGCCGGTCATACACAGAGGCAGGGGGAGAAATAGCCTAGGAGACATGTCCGACCCTCAGAGAGCACAACTTGATCCCCTCATCCAACAAGCCCGCTCTAGGCCCTGGAGGGGGAAGAGGGTCCCTTGATGGCTGCCAGGCCGCCCCCCCTTTTTTTTTCCTTTTTGGGTCACACCTGGCGATGCTCAGGGGTTACTCCTGGCTCTGCACTCAGGAATTACTCCTGGCGGTGCTCAGGGGACCCTGTGGGATGCTGGGAATCGAAGCCGGGTCGGCCGCGTGCAAGGCAAACGCCCTCCCAGCTGTGCTATCGCTCCAGTCCCACCCCACCCCCCACCCCCGTGACTGCCTTTCTTCCAGCCGGGCAATCCCAGAACTCTCCCCCCCACCTATGCTCCAGATGCACGGCAGGCGGGGGCCCACTCAGGCGTTACTCAGAACAGAAACGTTCGGTTCACAACAACCCGGGTTCAGCGTTCCTTAGGACACACAAAGATGGGGTGTGTGGCTGCAGGATGCCGCTAGCCATGAAGGGGCAAAGAGAAAAATGGGCGGCGGAGAGATTAGTACCAGGAGTTTTACTCCATGGCTTGGAGGCCAGCCACACGTGCTAGGGGAAAAGGCAGCTCAGATAGAGAAGGGAGCACCAAATAAAGGGTGTTGGGAGGATCCTCCCAGGATGGGAGAAGCATGCTGGAGCAGACTATAGACCAAATATGATTGCCACTCAATGCCTCTTTTGCAAACCACAGCACCCAAAAGGAGAGAGAGAACAAAGGGGAGTGCCCTGCCACAGAGGCAGGGTGGGATGGGGGGTGGGTAGGGGGTGGGAGGGATACTGGGATCCGTGGTGGTGGGAAATGGGCACTGGTGGAGGGATGGGTGTTTGATCATTGTATAATTGAAACCCAAGCGCAAAAATTTGTAAGTCTACAACTGTACCTCATGGTGTTTCACTAATAAAAACTTTTTTAAAAATCATTAAAAAAAAAAATGGGTGGCCTAGACCAGCTGCGACCAGTTTTACCATTAGGGCAGGTATCTCTAATTCCAACTGATGGATGACTAAATGATTTTGTTCTTTTTTTTTTTTTTTTTTTTTTTTGCGGGTGGAGAAGCACACCCATCGTAGGTTCTGGCTCTGCACTCAGGACTTTACTCCTGGCGCGCTCAGGGGACCCTATGGGATGCCGGGAATCAAACCTGGGTGGGCTGCATGTCACGGCAAACGCCCTCCCCACTGTAGTATCTCTCTGGCCCATTTGATTTTTTTGATTCCGGGGCTACACTTAGCGGTGCTCACGGCTTCTTCCTGGCTCTGTGCTCAGGCCATGTCCACTGCCGGTGCCTGGGACCCCAGGGAGGGCTGAGGATCAAACCAGGCCGGTGCCGTAATTCCTGGACTATTTTTCCAGTCATTTGACACCAGCTAAAAGAAAAATGCAGGGGTCCTGGAGACAGTGGAGAGGGGCTTGCTTGCATGCAACTGATCTGGTTTTTTTGCCTTTTTTCTTTGTTTTGTTTTGGTTTTGCTTTTTGGGGTCAGACCCGGCGATGTACAGGGGTTACTCCTGCTCTGCACTCAGGAATTACTCCTGGCAGTGCTGGGGGGACAATATGGGATGTTGGGAATCGAACCCGGGTCGGCTGCATGCAGAGTAAATGCCCTATTTGCTGTGCTACAGCTCCAGTCCCAGGCCCACCAGGAGTAATTTTTTTTTTTTTTGGCTTTTTGGGTCACACCTGGCCATGCACAGGGGTTGCTCCTGGCTCTGCACTCAGGAATTACCTTGGCGGTGCTCAGGGGACCATGTGGGATGCTGGGAACCGAACCTGGGTCGGCCGCGTGCAAGGCAAACGCCCTCCCCGCTGTGCTATCACACCAGCCCCACCAGGAGTAATTCTTGAGTGCAGAGCCAGGAGTTATTCCAGAGCATCGCTGGGCATTGCCCCCTCCCCCCCAAAAAAAGTCAGCCCCTGACCTGGGTTTGACCCCTGGCACCTCAAACCCACACCCCCAGCACCAGCAGGAGTGATTCCTGAATGCAGAGCCAGGAGTAACCCCTGAGCATCATCAGGTGGGCTCTCCCCCTCGCCAAAAAAATGTAAAGAGAGGGATAGGGGCTGGAGAGAGTACTAGGGGAAAGACCCCGGCATGTGGCTGACCCGGGGTCAGCTCCCAGCACCGCGTGTGGGTCAAGACCTGCCAGGAGCAATCCCTGAGCAGAGAGCCAGGAAGAAGCCCTGAGCACCCTGGGAACAACCCAAAAACAAACCAAAATGGCAGGAAGGAAGGAAGGAAGGAAGGAAGGAAGGAGGGAGGGAGGGGAAGAAAGGAAGGAGGGAAGGAAGGAAGGAAGGAAGGAGGGAGGGAGGGAGGGAGGGGAAGAAAGGAAGGAGGGAAGGAAGGAGGGAAGGAAGGAAGGAAGGAGGGAGGGAGGGAGGGAGGGAGGGGAAGAAAGGAAGGAGGGAAGGAAGGAGGGAGGGAGGGAGGGAGGGAAGGAAGGAAGGAAGGAAGGAAGGAAGGAGGGAGGGAGGGAGGGAGGGAGGGAGGGAGGAAGAAAGGAGGGAGGGGGAAGAAAGGAAGGAGGGAAGGAAGGAAGGAAGGAGGGAGGGAGGGAAGGAAGGAAGGAAGGAAGGAAGGAAGGAGAGAGGGAGGGAGGGAGGGAGGGAAAAAAGGAAGGAGGGAGGGAGGGAGAAAGGAAGGAGAGAGGGAGGGAGAGGAAGAAAGGAAGGAGGGAAGGAAGAAAGGAGGGAGGGAAGGAAGGAAGGAGGGAGGGAGGGAGGGAGAAAGGAAGGATGGCGGAAGAAAGAAAGGAGGGAGGAAGGGAAGGAAGAAAGGAGGGAGGAAGGAGGGAGGGAGGAAGGAAGGAGGGAGGGAGGGAGGAAGAAAGGAGGGAGGGACAGAAAGAAAGGAAGGAGGGAAGGAAGGATGGAGGGAAGGAAGGAGGGCGGAAGAAAGGAGGGAGGAAGGGAAGGAAGAAAGGAGGGAGGGAGAGAAAGAAAGGAAGGAGGGAAGGAAGGAGGGAGGGAAGGGAGGGAAGGAAGGAAGGAAGGGAGGGAGGGAGGGAGGGAGGAAGGGAGGAAGGAAGGGAGGGAGGGAGGGGAAGGATAGGAAGGGAGGGAGGAAGGAAGGGGCAATTCAAAAGGACATAAGGCAGCAGGGCTGGGGGCAGGGGCTGAGGCTCTCTCCTGCTTCCTTGGCTTCCTTCTCTCCTCCCTCCCCTCCCTTCCCTTCTCTTCTGCTTTTGGGTCACACCCAGCAATGCTCAGGGGTTACTCTTGGCTCTGCACTCAGTAATTCGAATTACTCCTGGCTCTCTGCTCTCCGCAAAGGGGCTTCTTTTCCTTTCTTTTCTCTCTCTCTCTCTCTCTCTCTCCCCCCCCCCCTCCCTCTCCCTCTCCCCCTCTCTCCTCTCCTTCTCCCTCCCTCTTCCTCTCTCTCTGTCTTTCTTTTCTGCTTTTGGGTCACACCCAGCAATGTTCAGGGTTACTCCTGGCACCGCTCTCAGGAATTAC